TGATCTGCGCATGCTCAGCTGTCAAAATAAGAGCGGCACTAATAGTGACTGGCCTTAAGTAAACTTGCAATAACTCTCTAATAATAAAAAGTTTTCCATATGATTCCAACTTAGGGGGACATACTGTATAGCTACAGCTTCGGCACTAAAAATACAAAATGCAGAATTTAGGCTATGTGATTTTTATATGTTTCTAGATGAAATATAATAAGCATAACCTGTTCCAGTGGAGATTTTAGAAGCATCAGTATATATGATTAGGGCGTTTTCCCAATTAAATAGAAATGACCCCAATATATTTCTACTTACGTACATTAGAGTCATAATATGGTTGAATGATTTTTGTTAATAAATAGAGGATAGTCAACAAGTTGAGTTAGATCATCAGTTTTATATATGTTGGACAACGGACTTTGGCATTGTTGAAACGCAATGCACAATGGTGGGGAATTTTTTAATTTTCAATATTTATTAACAAGGTCAAATACATGTAGTCGGCTAATATTTCCAAAAAGTTCTATGTTTTGAAGGTGTACTTTCGTCAGAAACTTCTCGCCAAGATATATCTCTCAGTGGAGAGGATTAATTGGTGTTGATTTCATTGCTCTAAGACATAAACGCAAAACTGTATTTTGAAATACATCGATTCTTTTAAGTAAATTATTACTATCAGATCCATAAAGTATACAACCGTAGTCCAATATTGACCTCAAATAAGCGCGATAAAATAATAAAGCTGTTTTTACATCAGCACCCCACCAGGTTTTTACAACCATTTTCAGAAAATTCAGTCCCTTTGTTACAGTTGTTTAAGATAAATTCTATGTGCGATTTCCACGTGAGTTTTCTGTCAAGGATTAACCTTAGGTATTTTACTACGTTTTTTATTGTGAAATCTACGTTATTAAGTCGTATATTATTATTTGGCAAATTATATCTAGTAAATATTGTAATTGATGATTTATCTGCTGATAATTAAAATCCATTTTTGATTAACCAAGATTTTAATTTGTTTGCTATGGAGTCTAATGACCCTACTACATTTTCATATCGTATTTAATGTATTTGATAATCTTCCAAACGACTTTGTTTTACTTTCTGTGGATGAAATAGACACTAAATGTGGAGTACTGAAGTATCTAAGCGGAAAGTGTATAACATTATTAAAGAAGATACAGTTATTGGAGAAGTCTCACACCCGAAAAAGCCCCCAGGAAGAAACAAGACTTTTATTGAAACTTGGGTAAAGAATGTAATAAGGACGACTGGATTCGGGAACAACATATCAACTGTTGGGGAAGCACCCCAAAACAGGCACATGGAAAAGCCTTCATATGCAGACCATGTCCCAAAAGAACTGGAGAACTACTCTTAAGGAGGTCCTTTCGCCACCAATGTTAAATAAAAAATATTAGATTATGACTAAAATTTATTTTTTTCTAATAGTAGATGTCCTTATTTATCTAATAGTGAACTTTTAACTATACCTTACCGTGCAAATTTTTGAGAAAATATTTTTTTAAAAACATTTGTGTTTGTACAGTGTCTTATGAAAAAGTAAGACTTCAACAACAATTTTCGAATTATAATTAATTTTGCTATTATTTATTGATTAGATGGAGTAGAAAAAAACTAAAAATAAGGTTTTTGAAATATTTAGGTTTTGTTTTTTACAATAAAATATATAGGTTACCGTGGAATTTATTGAGAAATTATTATTAAAAAATCACAAAAAATTTTCAACTAGGTTACTTGAAAATGTTTTGTGATTTTTTATTATTAATTTCTCAATAAGTTCCACGGTTTACTATATATATTTTATTGTATAAAAAACCTTATTTTTAGTTTTTTTCTACTCCATCTAATCAATAAATAATAGTATAATTCGAGAATTGTTGTTGAGGACTTACTTTCTCGTGAGGCACTGTACAAATACTCACATTATAAAAAAAAATTCTCAAAAATTTGCAAGGTAAGGTATAGTTAAAAGTTCAGTATTAGATAAATAAGGACTTCAACTATTAGAAAAAAATTAATTTTAGTCATAATCTAATAACTTTTTTTTTAACATTTGAGGCGAGAGGTGTGGCGAAAGGACCTCCTTAATGAATAGGAACCAGTTGAAGGTGATAACAGGGTTCATGACTGGGCACGCCCCAGTAAAGGGACACAACAAAATTGGCATGCACAATGGGGAACTCATGTGCCGACTATGTCACAAGAAACCAGAAACGGCCAAACACATACTGTGTGAATGCGAAGCTCTAGATCGCAAAAGACAGGCTATTTTTGGACAACCCCAGGTTGATCCAACAACGTATAGAACCCACTCACCCAAGGATCTGTACAAACTTGTACAAGATACAAAGGTGACAGAGTGGGTGCTATGAATTAACATGGGGTAAAACACAATAAACCAATAGGCTTCAGTGTTATTCGGAGACACATAGTCAGACGAGCCCAGGAGAAAGATAAAAAATAAGGAAAAAGGTACATTCTCTTTTCTTTCTTAAAAAATTACACTTAGAAATAGAAAATAGTCTCACTCTTTCAAATATATCATATTATTTTCATCTGCAAAAATTAAAATTAAAATTTAGTTACAAGAAACGTGTCAGAAACAGCTTTTTAACAGAAAAAGAAGAAATTATTGCGTGGACGCATATCGGACGCAAGGAATCAGCATAAACAGGTATTTCATTTAGATGAAACATGGGTTAATGGATATACAGTAACAAAAATTTCGCAAGATACCTTCATCAAAACTAAACAACAAGCCTTTATGGAAGGGGCCTCTTTTCGGTTATAAAATCCAACAGGAAAAAAAATCATTTAATAATAATCCACATTGGAAGCACCGATGTATTTTTGCCAGATGGTTTATTAATGTTTGACTCAATGAAAACAAAAGACTACCATGTAGAAATGGATGGCTCTATGTTTGAAAATCCAGCCAACTTCCTTATTGTTTTGAATAATGCATCCTGTCACAGTCGATCAAAGGAGTCACTACCTACAACAGGATGGAAAAAGAAGATATTTCAAAATGGCTTTATTCTAAACAAATCAAAAAATATATTCTAGACAAGATGGCCCGAGAAAAAGGAATTGAAATTCTCAGATTCCCTTCTTACCACGCATATTTAAATCCCATTGAACTGATTTTGTTACAATTAGAAGGTTATGTTTCTCTAAACAACAACATTTAAATCACCTGATGTGCGAAATTTGTTTTTGAAGGCAGATCCACATGTAAATGGATAACTTTGAAGAAAATGCATTGATCATTGATCATGTTAAAAAGGTGGAAAATTCATTCTACAAAGTGGGTAAATCAATGAAAAACTTAATAGACCCTATAATAATAAACCTTGCTTCTTGAACTTTTAATTTTTTTAATCTTTGATTTTAGATACTAAATTGTTACTTTTAATGCTAAGATTATGAAAAAAATTATTCTTATTAACAATATAATCCTTCTTGTTATTTATTGGTTAAATTTAATTCGTTCAATGTTAAAGTGCAACAATTTTGTCAGAAGCATAAGGTTTACTTTTATTTTTTTGTAAATAATAGGTATAACTTTTTTCATTCAAAATTTAATCTATACGAAGTGCGCATATACCATTTTATATGCCGTGACCTTATTTATAATATAAAAACTTATTTTGCAAAATACGCCTATGGAATGTGTTGCTATTTTCCCACTTTTATTGCACTCCTTCCTCTTTTTTTCAGACCAAAATTCAGATACAGTTTCGTTTTATGTATCAACTAGTGTTTTTGATTGAGTCTGCATGATTTTTTTAGTGTTATTTTTGTTAATTAAATGGAAAAACTTGCAATTGAGTGTTCTCGGCCAGCCCTCACAGTTTACCAACAATTTGAAATAGCTTCTCGACCAGCTTTTCCAATTTTCGACTATTTAGAAGTTGATTATTGACCAGCTTTTCCAGTTATCGACCATTTAGAAGTTGATTCTCAACCATCCAATAGCAAGGCCTCCTAATAGTCCTAATAAAACTTAAAATTATCAAATAAAAGTTATTTTTTTATAGATTAAAATAAAAATGTGACTACAGTATGTAACGAAAAAAAAATACAAATACAAAATAAAATTTACTTTTTTTATTTAAAAACAGTAAAAAGTAATCAATGTAACCAGCTTTACATGTTACAGCACCCTTTATAATTTTTGGACGAGGATATTTTAAAAAGTAATTTTGTTAAAAAATTAAAATTTTGGCAAAATAAATTAGGTACAATTATCTAGAAATGCGTATATTTTAAAGTTTTAAATCCTTTCAGTTTTTGAGAAAAAATAATCAAAGAGCTTTCAATTTTGAAATATTATAATGAAAATAAATGCATTCCTCGACGGCACTATTCTTAATATATTCCCAAAATTTGAGCTCTTAATGTATTGTTAATAATTTTTAAAATTTTCCAAAATTAGTGGCTAAAACGCCTCGTTAAGTGTTGCCTTCTGGTGTACTGCGCCTGTAACTATCATATCGTACACTCTCGGTCATCATTGGTTTTTTGCAACGATTTACACTAGTTAACACCAGAAGATAGTACTTAACGAGGCGTTATAGTCACTTATTTTGGCGAATTTTAAAAAATCATTAACAAGACATTAAGAGCTTAAATTTGGGGATTATATTAATAGTGCTGTTGAGAAATGCATTAATTTTCAATATGATATTTCAAAATTTAAAGCCCTATGATTTTTTTCTCTGAAACTGGAAGGAATTAAAACTTTAAAATACATGCATATTCTAGATATTATTGCCTAAATTATTTGGTTAAAATTTAATTTTTTTTTTAAAATAACTTTTTGAGATATCCTTTTGCAAAAATTATAAGGGGTGCTGTAATCACCTTGAGGCAATTAAACTTCGAAAAATGTTAGAAGTTGCCATTGGGGGTAATATTTATGGTATTTGTGATATTAGGAACACTTGTTTTTCGATGTACTAGGAAATGTTTATTTGCAGGTTCCGCTATAAAAGACGAAACACCAGTAATGGGAATTAATACAAACACTGAAAAAAGCAAAATTGAAATCAGAATAGAAGGCACAGAAGAAGAAGATGGAAAACATGTTGTTTTGGCTGATACCGTCATTATCAAAGGAAAGGATAGGGTGGTGCGAAATAGTAGAATTTCCGTCCCTAAATCTTCCTTAGTAGACGTTTACTCCCAAAGGAGTTCTTTGGGAGTATATAGTATCTATGGTGGTAAAGAACATTTTTATTATCAATAATTTTAGATTTTAAAATTAACAGAAGATTATTATTGTTCTTCATATTTTCAGGAGGGGTTTCAGTTGAATCTCAGTTTAGAAAAGACCAAGCGCGTCTTTCAATTGTGTCTATAAAAAGTGAGAAGGAAAAATTAGATCAGGAAAAATGGTACCAGATATTATTGCAAGTCAGTGTTCCGTTTTTTATAGCTGGTATTGGTACCATTGGTGCGGGAATAGTATTGTCAGAAGTTACGGTAAGTAATAGTTATTTATGTACCAACGGTATTGAGTAAATATTTATGCCCTGAGGATGACTATCTTACAGACCCGAGGGCCTATGGCTAGAGGGTGTAAATAAGTTGCCGTGTTAAACTTTCATATTTTTTTAAACATTTGGTGGTATAATGTCTTTTTAAATTGTACTTTTTCAAAACCATTACAGATCAGACCAATTGGATTGTCCTTGTAATTCCTGTAATTATATTATGTTTTTACATTGAAATGTTTTTAAGCAAGTGTACTAGGGTCGTAGGTTTGGCATAATGATAAAATAACTCAAGCAATTAGATATTATATTGTAAATCACCACATTTAAAGCATGTATTCCACATTTTAAGGCATTAATGTTAAAAAACGTGGAAACAACATTACTAGTTAAATTTACTTTATATGCTTTAGATATGGCAAGAAATAAAATCTAATTTACAAGAGTTTATAAAATAAAATTACTTTAAAGTTTATATATTCATGACTGAAGTTACATAGAGGAAAAAAATGAAAATTTATCTCTATTAAAATTATTTTTTTCAATGGTGTGAAAGGTAGATTCAAACTATAAACTATAATTTTCTTCGACAATTTTGACAAGGAACACGTCTATAGTATGACATCGAGTCTTATTACTCTTTTTTTATTTATTTACCGTTCAAGAAAATAAACTCTAGGTTAATAACATAACCTCCAAAATTTAAGCCATTTTGAAGCTGCCGAGTTAGAAATACAAGATTTCACATACCCACATAAAAAACCTAGTTTTACAATATAGTTTTACAACCTAGTTTTACAACCTAGTTTTACAACCTAGTTTTACAACCTAGTTTTACAACCTAGTTTTACAACCTAGTTTTACAACCTAGTTTTACAACCTAGTTTTACAACCTAGTTTTACAACCTAGTTTTACAACCTAGTTTTACAACCAACCTATAGAAATTAATGTCATAAAAATGTTAATGAAGAAAGTTGGCGAAAAAAAATTGACGTTAATGAACAGCTTAGTTTTACCACCCAGTTTTACAACCTAATTTTACAATCTCCAATTTTTCAACCTAGTTTTACAACCAACATATAGAAAATAATGTCATAAAAATGTCAATGGAAAAAAGTTGATGAAAAATTTGTTGATGTTAATGAACAATTTAATTTAACGACCTAGTTTTACAGACTATTTTCACAACCTAGTTTTACAACCTAGTTTTACAACCTAGTTTTACAACCTAGTTTTACAACCTAGTTTTACAACCTAGTTTTACAACCTAGTTTTACAACCTAGTTTTACAACCTAGTTTTACAACCTAGTTTTACAACCTAGTTTTATAACTCAGTTTCTACATTTAATTTTTCAACCTATCATAGGACCCAATGGGTGCTATGATTGAACGTTTACGTTATCCGTAACGTACATGTTAGGCCGAGTTTTAACAGCAAAGAGACAAATTCGTATGATGTAAAGTCTTTCATAACACATTACTGTTATTTTCCGCCTGTTATGTTCTAATTTAACAGGTTTCCATCATACGAACTTGCCTCGTTACTTTTAAAATTCGGCCTAACATGTACGTTACGAATAATGTAAACGTTCAATCATAGGACCCATTATCAAAAATGGTTATCGGTTAACATAATACAAAATCGTGACAACGAATAGAGATGGGACAGTAGAGATGTGAGAAAAATAACGGTATCATAGATATACCGTTACAATTCCAAACAAATATTCTTTAATGCACTTCTACTGGAAGGTAACACGTTCTTAATTAACCTTTCTGTATTTACTACTTGAAGGTCCCAATATATTTTAGGAATAAATTTTTTCAGAGCTCCAAAACAAACATAATACTCTTAACTATACTGTTTCACTTCCAAACTAATCTTACGTAGTGACAACCAAGACTGTTGTTTCTACATAGCGGGTAGCCTAAAATCTCGAATATTTTAGAATTTTCTAGCGGGTTCTCATCGGAAAATATTCATTAGTATTCCACGCAAATTAAAATCTCAATTAAAAATAAAATTATAAAATTGTCATTCAAGTTTTGATATAGTTTTCTAACGTTAATTTATATTTTCAGAAATTTAAGGTATTTCAAGAAGTCAGCGCACTCTTTGTATTGATACCGGCTCTATTAGGATTAAAAGGAAATTTAGATATGTGTTTGGCCTCACGACTTTCCACACAAGCTAATTTAGGAAAATTCGAAAATAGAGAGGAACTGATTAAGATTATTATTGGAAACGTCCTTCTAGTACAGGTAAGAATATAATTTTACAACTTTTGTTAACATTTGTATATCCAAGTTTTTAATTATTATACAACAAACTTTTTATGTATGGTTAGAACCTCGTTATTTACCTTTTGTTTGTAATGATTTTTATTGGACAATGTAGTATTAAAATAGTAGTTTGTGTTACAAGAGTGGATATGGATAGTTTACTCGATAGTTTCTACGACCCACTAACGAAAATCTACAAATTTAAAAAATTATTTTAGGTTATTAAGACAATATAACTAATTTTAAAATAATTCATGAATTTTACTTATTTATAAAATAAAATAAACAAAAAAAAATAATTCCAAGTCCAAATTCAAACCCGGGCTATTCGCATGGAAGGCAGATGCTTTGTCCCCTGCTCCACCGCCACTTTTAGAATTTTAGTTTTAATACTCGTAATAAAATTAGTTTTATATAGTTTGTTTAAAATTTAATTTTTTATAAAACGTTGCCCAAATAAAAATAAAAATGCTATTATTTATCGATTCTTAACAAAAATAACTCATTTTATGGTATATTTAATCTCAATAACTAAAAAATATACTGACATTTAGTTTGAGAGGATTGTCACTTATTTAAAATTTTAAAAATAAGAGTAGTTGGTGTCTAAAATATAAACTGTGATTAGTGGATTTAACTTTTTGCAGTGTTCTCTCACTCTCATAATGGATATGAAATATATTCCATCAGTTTAACGTAATATCATACTTTTTCGTTTTATAATCTGTGCGTAGATAAGCTAAAATCCATGTGGGTGTAGAAAAACCCACATGGATATTAGCTATTCTACGCACAGTCTACAGAACGAACAGGTATGCCATCGCGTTCATCCGAACGAATATATTTCATATCCATTCGAGCTAGAAAGAACAAGAAAAAAAAATAAATCCACTTCACCAATCACATTTCATATTTCGGTCAACGGACTAGTATTATTTTTTTATCGCCAACTGTCAATAAAGCCATGCATTACCATAGCGATTTAAGGAAGTAAACAAACACTTTATTTTACTCTGTAAAAATACTATGCCGCTAACATTTATCAACATAGCCATGACCATCTGACAGAAATAGTCTGTAACTAATGTGTTTTGTATTCGCTGTTATTTTTCTGTTTGTTTACTTTGTCATAATAAAACTTGATGTTATAATATATTCTTTTTTATCAATTACAATTATTTACTGTTTGCTATAAAAGATGGACCACGTCAGCAAAATGTCTTTCTCGAACTCGTCCGTTACTCGTCCCGCTCGCTTCTCTTGCTCAGCTCATAATCTGAGACTAGTTCGATAAAGAATCACTTTGCCGACTTGGTACAAAAATAAGTGAAAATTATTTCAAACTATTTGTCAGTATATTTTTTAGTTATTGAGATTAAATATAAATGAGCTATTCTTGTGTAGAATCAATAAATAATATTATTTCTATTAATATTTCGTCTATATTTAAAAATAAACCATACATTTTAATAAAACTGTAGTTAATTAATTTATTGTATTAAAACTAAAATAATATGTGAGGCGATAGAGCAGTTATTAGGTCATTTGTCTTTCGCACAGAGGTCCCGGGTTCAATAATTCTAGGATAGGAGACTAACTTAATTATTTTTTTAAAGCTCATTAGGTGGCGTAGAAAAAATATACTGTAATCTAGTGAATTGTCCGTATCGCACTCAGACGATTGAGCACTTAGCCTATGCCTCGTGATCAAACTTCGTCTTCATGCGATAAGGTATGGTCCTAAAGTTTTTGGAAAAATTTTAAATTATTTATTTTTGTACCCAATGTCGTTTAATCAAGTTGCCATTGAAACTAAAACGTCACACGTAATTAAGTTTGATTATGACAGTTTAGTTTTGGAAATCGATTGTAGCAAAATGTCTTACAAATTAGATATTCGTAAGGGCATTTACAATCTAATCTAGTTGGACGAATACCTAAGCATGATATTGTTGCAATCTACCAAGAGCAAAATATAAGTAAGTCAACCATTTACAACACTATAAGGAATTGTGAAGAGGGTATACCATGCATTAATTTACCCAAAAGCTGTAGACCAAGAATTTTGAGTGTAAGAAGAGAAAGAAGACTGATGGAAGCTGCTAAAGACAAAGTTGGAGTTTCTCAGAGAAAATTGGCCCGGAGATTTGGTATTTCGAAAACCACTGTATTAAGAACAATTGATCGCACAAACTTAGTGTTTAGGAAAAGAAGAAAGGCACCAAAATACACCGCAGACCAGCTAGAAAGAATTTCGCGTTGTTGCCGCGTATTAAGGCGTATCCACTTTGCCAATAAATTGATTGTAATGGATGATGAAAAATATTTTACCTTATCCCATTCAGAGATTAAAGGAAACGATGGGTTTTATACCGATAACTTAGAAAATACACCAGACAATGTTAAATTTAAAGGTAAATCGAAAATTGAGGATAAAGTTTTAGTGTGGTGTGCCATTTCTGAAGCAGGATTTATCTCACAGCCGTATGTTGGTCGTATTCGGGGAGAAGCCTTAAATCCAGAACTTTATATTCAAAGATGTCTTACTAAATTACTTAATTTTTTAAATACACATCATCTCAACGATAATATAATGTTTTGGCCTGATCTAGCTTCATGCCATTATGCTAGAATTACCAGAGAGTGCTTAAGTGAAAATCACATTGACTTTGTACCTGTTGGACAATCCTCCTAATGTACCTCAGGCTAGGCCAATAGAGGAATTTTGGTCAATACTATCGAGGAAAGTGTACGATAAAGGATGGGAAGCTACAAATGAAGATCAATTCCGGCGTCGCATCTTCCAAAAGATTAGAGAAATAGAACCTGCTCTTGTCCAAAGGAAGATGGGACAAGTCCGAAGAAAATTACGACTCATTGAGGATAACGGGCCACTATCCATAATGTAATTAGTAATTATTTTTCGTTATTAGTGTTGTTAATTGTTGCCACATGTGCTTTTAAAATTAAAAAAATTTGGAAAAATTTATTAGCATTGAAAAATTTTCCAAAAACTTTAGGACCATACGTTATGGCCATCATATCCACTTGTATTGCACAAAGTACTATTATCGGTAATATATTAGAAAAAAAAAAAAAGAGAGAGAGAGAGAGAGAGAGCAAAAAGTGTTTCGAAAATTACTAGGTCCAAAAGTACCGCGCTTTTTTCGTACATGAGTAATGCAAAATTGTCAAATAATGGGAAAGACAGTTTTTATAACTGTATATCAGAATCTCTATCGACGGCCAGTAATTAAAAAGAACATCAATTTTTGATCTTATTTGCCCCATATCACATGTATTACCCTCTATAGATTTTCATAGGCAATGATGACTGCATATGTTTCAGTTTAATGAAACAAATTAACATATAACTTTTTTCTGCACCCACATGGATATTAGCTTATCTACGCACAGACTACAAAACAAAAAAGTATGCTATTGCGTTCAACTGAACTAATATATTTCATATCCATTCTAGGTGATGAGAACACTACAAAAAAATGAAATCCATCAATCACAGTTCATATTTTGGTCACCCGACTACTATTATTTTTAAAATTTTAATTAAGTGACAATTCTGTCAAAGTAATTGTCAGTATATTTTTTAGTTATTGAAATTAAATCTACATTATAATAAGTTATTCTTGTCTAGAATCGATAAATAATAGCATTTCTATTTTTATTTTGTCTATAATTATAAATATTTCGTTAATTTTAATAGAACTTTATAAAGTTAATTTAATTACGAGTATTAAAGCGAAAATGTCACACTCCTCCTCGATGGTGGTGAGATCAAGGCACTTGCTTTTTAAGCGAAAGGCTTGGGTTCAAATCTAAGAAGGCGACAAATTAAATAAATCTTTTTTTTTGAGAAATCGAGGTTCGATAATAAATTAAAGAACATTTTTAAAAAACTGAAACAAAAATCTGCTCTAGGCGGGGCTCGAACCAGAGCTTGTATATCTGGTGTCCTAGTTGTTAATTTGAGTATTTAAATTCGATCCTAACTCATTTTATCAGAATCCCTTTCAATTCCTCAACCCTTTAATCGTCGAAGGTACATCTCATCACAACCTAAAATAATTTTTAAAATTTGTAGATTTTCGTGAGTCGTAGAAAAAATATACTGTACATCTCAAGTATGCGTGTTGCTGTCAACATAGGCGAATATCAAGCACCATGCATGAGATATGAGATAGTCAGTGAAAATAATCGATTCATTTGGTTCTGATTGGTTTTAACAATAACGTAAATTGCAATGTGATTGGTTAAAATATCAAAATTGACAGGCGAGGAAAATAATCACAGATATAAAATCAAAAACAATCTCATAGATGATGATAATTTAACTACAATGTGTACTCTGCAGTAGCTTACAATAGTAGTTTGTGCAACAAGTGTGGATGTGGACAATCCACTTGAGTTGTACAAAATATCTTTCCTACGACCCACTAACGAAAATTTACAAAAAAATTTTTAGGTTATTAAGACAAAATAACTAATTTTAAAATAATTTATGACTTTTAATCAATTTTAAAATAAAATAAACGAAAAAAAAAACAAAAAAAGTTCATTTCATTTTTCCACACCAGAGAATCGAACTCGAGTCTTCCGTGTGGACGAAAAGAATGCAAGACCATATATTCTCTTATTTTTGTTGCTTTAATTCTCATAATTAAATTGACTTCTTATAGTTTTATTTAAATTAACAAATTATTTATAATTCTAGACGAAATAAAAACAGAATTGCTCTTATTTATCGATTCTACCCAAGAATAACCCATTTTAATGTATGTTTAATCTCAATAACTAAAAAATATACTGACAATTAGTTTGACAGAATTGTCACGTATTTAAAATTTTAAAAATAATAGCAGTCTGTTGATCAAAATATAAACGGTGATTGGTGGATTTAATTTTTTTGAAGTGTTCTCACTATCTAGAATGGATATGAAATATATTCGTTCAGTTAAAGGCAATAGCATACTTTTTCGGTTTGTAATCTGTGAGTAGATAAGCTAATATCCATGTGGGTGTGGAAAAAATAATAATGTAAATTGTACCAAATATGTAGTTACTGATGAGCATTTTAAACTAGAAAATTATAAAATGTAAAAATAAACAAAATTCTAATGTAAATGTTTATTTAACATATCATCGCTGTTACTGCAATATGTCATATGTCAAAAAAATAAACTTTTCAGCTTAACACTTATTCCAAAGCAAAATAACCGCTTCTAACGTACTGCAAAAGCTTGTGCGATTACCGAATAATAAAGAGACTTGTGTGTCTTAGCTAATGTCTCTTATGTCGTTAATAAACAGGAAGAAACTATAAGTTATTAATATTTTTGTATCGATATCAATTTTTTTGACATACCACCTACTGCGGTAACAACGATGAATATATTTTATGTATATGTTGTTAACAGATCTTTTCTTTAGGTCAGAAAGAAATTTCTATATCTTGTATCCTTTACGTTCGATTTTTTTAATAAAATAATTTTTGAATATATTTGCTTCTATATCTTTCTATTTTTTAGAATTACTTGTACTAAAAACTATCCTGTTAACAGAAGAGATTTTTTTTAATAAAGTGGTATTTCTCAGGTAATCGAAGGAGAAAAGCTTACTCAAAGGTTAACAATACTCTCTATATCGGCACTGATAAGTTAGAAAATTAAAATATGTTACCGCCGACATTTTTTATCCAATTATGGTCCAAATTTATCCAGAAATTGATAATAGATTCAAAAATACGATCACCTAAAATTTCTGGAATTGTGTAATTTTACCGCCTTTAAAAAAACAATTTCCGGAAAACCAATTAAAATCGTTGATGCGTCACTATTGTCAGTATTTTGACACGATTTTCGTTAAGATCCGAACCTAGAGCTTTGTATGATACCAAAGATATTTAAAAAAAGAATGCAAGTGGGTTATTGATATTTTTAAAAGAAATTGCATTGTTTAAGGTATATTTAGAGGTAATAAAATTATGTTGGTTAGTATTGGCAATTCCAGCCACTAATGCCTCCGTAGAACGTAGTTTTTCCGCGCTTAGACGCATAAAAAATTACTTGTGAAATTTGACAGGACAAGATCGACTTACCAAAGTTTTTATTAGCAATTGAAAACAATCTTGTTAAGGAATTGTCGCAGTATCGTCTTTTTTTACAATGAAGTTATAGACGAATTTGTGAAAACTGAGAGATTACACTATATAGGTAAGTTTTTGACATTTGCTGTCCTTGACCCCAATTTCACCGCACGCCCCTGGCGTGGCCACCAACGACTAAACATGCCTCTCTTCAGGATATTCTAGAGCAGCTATAAACCTTTTTTCTTTTTTTCCTTTGGGCCACATACATATATTTGCTATGTTACACGTGCTGCAATATTTTTGGATGATGGACCCGATTTTAAATTTACTTCCTACCTAGTAAATAAAACAAAAAAAACCTAAATACATCCAAACGATTATTCAAAAATTAGCGTGATATTTAGCGTAGCGACCGAAGAATGTTCTCGCACACTTCGCTCAAGATTTTAAAAATTTTTAGAAATCCATAGTTTTGAAAAATCAATTTCCTAATAATATAATATAATAGTGTTTCCGGCCACACATAAAAGCTTGACGGGCCGCAGGTTGAGTATGGCTGCTCTAGAGGGTTTGTTTTTATTACAGGTATCCTCTAGATGAAGACTGGACAAGAATTTTTCGTTCTAGACTAGCCATTTGCTCAGGGTTCTCAACAAATCGATTTTTTAAATACTCCTAAAAAATGCAAACCAGATAGCTCGGGAACAAATGAAAAGGGATCGTCAGGACGTCGAAAAGACCAACAGTTCAATTTGTAGCTATTTTCTATTTTTCACAGGTAATCCCTGTTGTAGAAAGCCTTCATTAGAAAAAGAAAGAATGATTTTATATTAGCGACATCAACATTGTTTGGGCTAAAAAATATAAAGAGAAAAAGTAGATGGTATATAGTAGATGAGAAAATAAAACTGCCGGAAAACACGAAAAAAAAATGATTTTATATAGTTTTTATAATGAAAAAGTAAGAAATATTTAATACGCGTAAATGGTCGAATAAGCATTTGTAATTATAAATTTGTTGCAAGCAAAAATATTTAAGCTGTCTTGAATTTCATGCTTAGTCTGGTGGTGTTATTGGACCGAACTTCTTTGAAAATGCTGCTGGTCATGTTATAACTATCAGTGTGCTTCGATTTCGTGAGATGTTAACTGGGTTTTTGTTGCCTGAATTGAATAATATTGATCCGCAGGACATGTGGTTTCAGTTAACGATATAACATGCCACACATCCACTGACACAATGGATTTTTTAAGAGAAATTTTCCTGGAGGAATACAAAGAAGTTAATTAGCCACCACGATCATGTGATTTGACACCGTTGGAATTTGTTCCTTTAAAGCTATATGAAAAGCCAGGTCTACAAAAACAATCCACAAACTATTCATGTTCTAGAAGTCGGAATAATTATGTGAAAACGTTATGTAAAAAATTTTGTAAGGCAGCAAGAGGTGGCCATTTACCACATATACTTAAACATTAATTGCCAAACATTTGACTTTCATTTTCAATAAAAATTTGAATAATTACAGTCGATATTCTGTGTTTTATTAACCAATAAAAATTGCGTCACTAATGGAAAATCCTATATTTTTGAAAAGTAGTATTTATTGAATATTTTTACTCATAAGCTCAGAAAGATAAAGTCACAATCATTACCAACATGATATAGACAAAGATAGCAAAAATACATTAAAAACTTTTATTTTAATTACAGATTCAGTCAATAGTAGCATCATGTGTGGTATCAGTGTTTGCAGTTGCAGTGTCAGCTGTGTTAAATGGAAATTTTGTATGGGTTCACACTTTACTTTTGGCTGCAGCTAGCACACTAACAGCCACTATATCTTGCTTTACGTTAGGTAAGTAATCAATAAAAAAATAGGTGAGAAGATGGGGTAAGTATGACCCTCAATTTTCAACACTGCCTACCGTTTGAAAGAAATAATACACAATATATGTATCGTATGCTTTCTTTGATGACTTACCTTTACACAGTTTACCACAAAAAATAAATTACATCAGAATTACATGTCATTATACGTAAATACGGCCCTAGGTCACATTTTCCCACCAGTTTGGGGCAAATGTGATTTACACCAAATATGTACTTAATGCCAAACTTTTGTTTGGGAAGTGCGATTAAATAAAAAAAGTCGCTTTCAACCAAAATATTGCCGCATTTTAGAATCCACATCGGATGCATTTTTTACATCTCGAGCGTTTTTTTATCCACATCGGACACATCTGTCCCATTACATTTACGTATACTGAATCACGTGATCAAAGATTTACTACATCTCAGATGCATCCGATGTGGATTCTCAAACGCGGCATACATGTATATTTTTTTAAACACATTTTTATTAGGAAAAGCTAATAACTTTCATACATATTTTAAGAAAAAACATTCGACTAAGTAAGAATAAAATACAGCAAACAAATCTCAAAGTCAAAGTTAGAATAAGTTGCATTTCAAAAAATCAAATTGGAATGGTATGCTTAAGAGCAACCCAAGCAACTTGAAAATGTCTAATTCCTTCTCAGCCATTTTATTTAATCCGATTTTTGTGTTATTTAAAGGAAATACTAATAATAACAAGTTAGGAAGGAGGAACCTTAATTTTTTTTGTAAACCATCGAATACTATTTATTTTGATAATTTTTTAAAGGGATTTAAAAAAACACTTAACGCGCCATTATTTGCTGGTTTTTGTTTTAATAAATATCTAGTAGGTTTTAAATGATAGAGATTCTCACCTTTCTTCTTAAATGTCTTTGTATAGTTCTGCCCTATCGTTGCACACATTTAGAGCTTTCAGTATTCTCAAGAAGCATAATATCGCGAAGTATTCTCAGCGGCGCGATTATAAATAAAAGTTATATTAGAAAATCCTCACATTTTTTCTTTTTGTGAGAGGTCCGGTTTGCTCTTAAAGATGACGATAGAAAAATGGTTTTAATTTCGTCTTGAGTGAGCGAGTCAATGTCTTCCTGGCCATCTGCAATATTTTTCAGAAAAATATTTAAACACAAAATCTAGATTATTTTTTAAAAGAAATAGCCACTTTTTGATTTACTACAAAAAAATATATTTTTAGAACCAGTCTAGTACAACAGGTTCCCACTTAGCCCGACAAAAGTTCACACTTATGACGTTTTGCCAGGGTAAGTGGACCCATAATCAAATAATATTTTAGAATGTAATTAGAACAACAGTGACTATAACATAGTTTAACTTAGCAAATTAGTTGAAGAAATAGCTGTGAAAGTGATTTCCTCCTTTATGTTTAAATAATATCTCTCTCTGTATCTATAACGAGTGGAGGGTGGGTTACCCCCATGGAACTGAGGCCTCATTAGGCCCATTGTGCATCCTCCTAAGATGATAGGAACCTCCTAGCTCGTGAGCCAGCCTACAGATTTAATGTAGTTGACAACGTCGCCAAGAGGTGCTTCTCTTTTATCGGCCGGTGTTAGCCGATACTCGCCGAACACAAATCTTCTAATAAATGAGAGCGTCCAGCAGTCGTAAAGGATTATGCTCTATGGTCTCATCTTCATGTTCGCACCCTCTGCACAGTGCGGATTCTGACAGCCCCATGATATGGAGATGCTTCCGTACTTGGGAATGACCTATCAGAATGCCTGTAACTAGGCGCAGATTCTGTCTAGTCAGAGTCAAGTATTTGTTTGCTGCAGTGTTGTCAGAATAACTTAAGAGCTCTCTGTCAACTCAGCAGTTTCTTGTTTCATCCCATCTTACCTTGAATTTCACATGGGAATGTTCTTGAATTAGGTCTGTCACTACGGATTTTGTCAGGCCAATAGAAGGGCCAGGTCCAAAAAGTATTTGGTTGGCTGCTTTCTAGGCTAGTGAATCAGCAAGATGGTTTCCTTTCGATGGCGTGACCTTTGATCCATCTTAAGGTGACCACATTGTTGATGGATACTTTGGCCAAAGCTTCGTGACATTTTAGTACTAACCCTGAGTAAATTCGTGTTCTGTTCAGGATGAGTAGTGCTTTCCTGCTATCTGTATATATAAGCATATTCCTTCCAGTGATATTGTGATATTGTTTCTGTTTATTTATTTTGCTGCTATGAGAATCCCCGTTAGCTCTGTTTGAACTAAACTGGCACTATTGCTCTCAGCCCATTTTATGATTAGGTTTAAGAATCTGAAGTATATTCTACATCCTGAGCCTTGTTTTGTTTTAGAACCGTCGGTGTAGATATGAATCATACCTGCCACTTCTGGCTCTTGTATTTGTTCTATTATCACTTTATATGGCTTATGGAAGATATATCTCGGTGATATGGAGTCGATGTTTACTTGAAGCAGTGAGAGCGTATCGAGCGCCTCCTGCCAAAAGCGACGTCTCGCCTCACCAGGGAGTGAGACTAAGAATGACTTCCATGGCTCTGGTCGGTGTTGTTTTCATAGCTCCTGTTATGTTGAGACTAACTGTTCAATTTTGTTCTAGTTTACGGATAGCTGTTAATTTTTGGGTTTTCCGTACCCAGACAACTGCACCGTATGTTAGCATAGGTCTTATGATAGCCGTGTAAGTCCATGCGACGACTCTGGGGGAGACACCCCAGGTGCGCCCCACGGTTCGGCGGCATTGTTCATAAGCAATGTAAGCTCTTTTAACTCTGTCTTCTAAGTGCGAGTTCCATGTTAACTTGCTGTTAAAGGTGAAATCTAGGTACTTCACCTCTATTGCAAAGTTCAGTTTTGTGTTTAGGAGTTCTAGAGGTTTTAATTCCATTTTTATCCTTTTCCTTGTGAAAAGGACCATTTCTGTCTTGTTAGGATTGATAAAAGTTAATGGTCCTTGCACCACTGTTCTATAATTTTAGAGCTACTTGCATTCTTTCGAAGAGTATGTTTTCAAAACTCCCTGTTTGCAGAATGACCAGGTCATCTGCATATGCTATTGTGTAGTGACTGTCATTATTGAGGCGGCTGATGAGGCTGTCGAGAACCATATTCCACAGTAGAGGTGATAGCACCCCTCCCTGTGGACATCCCCTCGTAACCAACCCTCTTACATTCACATCTTCTACACTTATGTTTACTGCTTGCTTTGAGAGCATGTTACACCCACTAACCATTTGTGGAACATTCCTGTTGGTTAGTGAGGGTATTGGAAAGGTCGTTTTATCAAAAGCACCTTCTATGTCTATGAAAACACCCAAAGCGGACTCCTTATTGGGTTTAAATACTAAAATCACAAATTAAAAAAATATCTCCGCTCTCGCTCACGAGATCAACTGTAGGTGATGAATATACCTATTGTATTTAGATCAACTAGTAGAACAATGCCAATGGAAATTATCTTGGAGGACAATGGACAGTATCAATAGATGGCAGCAAGCTCCGTGGTGTCCAAGTCATGTCTTTGATAATTTTGTCGTTTTTTACCTAGCCATCGAACGATTGTCGAAACTGAATAACGAACGTAATTTCTCTATTTACTAATAGATGGTACGATAGTCGATTCAGAATATTTGTTTTAAAAAAGAGATATATGATTTTAGTTATGCTTGGTGAACATTTAATTACGGTTTATCATCATTTTAGAGAATATTAACAATATTAATTTAAATTTGGCAGATGGCAAATGAATTTAAAAATTAAAAAACTTTATGTGTATAGAATTCTATACTCAATGATCGAGGGAGCGCCTAGAATGCGAGCCATTTATGATACTTAGATACTACTCTGAGGGATATCTAAATACAATGATGTAACTATCAGATTTAGTAACAACCAGCAATATATTTATATCGGATTATTAGTTGCGTAATTAGTATACCCTACTCTCCACTAGATGGCACCACGCTGCTACGCATCATGACAATTTTGATAGGCGTATTCACACTGACCCCAAATCCACACTTACTCCACCTTACCTGTAAGTAGAAGTTGGAAAGGCTTTTGCCAGTTCTCCCACTTTATACACATAAATTGACAGGTTTGTGGCGGATCTCACCGAAGTGGACGCGATACATTGGCGTACAAAATTATTTTATAGATGTTAATAACAATTTCGAGTAAATAGTTTAATAAATTCTGAATAGCTGTTGAAATTTTGTAAAATTATGATTTAAATATTATAATACATGTTTAATAATTATTTGTAGTCCATAAATACAAGCGATTGTCCGGTTCCGCCGGTAACAATTTAAAATTAGTTATTCTATGAAACGACACTGCCAGGTAAACATTACTGCGAAATTCTCGAAGCCGTCCAACGTGGTTTGACGTTTACCCCCTCTCTACCTACCAAAAGCGTTTCCAACTTTTACTTGCGCTATACCTTTTCAATTGTTCGTCAATTTCGCATTACTCATGTGCGAAAAAAAGTGGGAATTTTGAATCTAGTATTTTTTCAAACACTTTTTGCTATCTCTCTTATCTTCGCTTTAAAACTGTTGGGTTGGCTACGACGATTACTCCATGTCATCGTTACTTTAAACAACTGTCATCGATAATATATATATATATATAGCAGGGAGCCAGTAAAACTTTTTTGATACACATTTGTACATGGCTAAATTATAAATGTATCGTAAACTTTTACACTGTAGAAGATGGAAATACTTTGCTGCAATCGATTTAGCGGTTAAATACCTTATCAGCAAGCAAGAAGGTACTACGAATCGAATTTCAAAAAGGTGACAGCAAACTTTATTCTACTAATTTTTGATGTAGGTATATAATAACTAAAAGTTTTACGTTTGCGCTTCTATGACAGCATTTTTTTTTAAAACGTCACCGTCGGGGGCTCCATCGCTGCGCAGCAAACTATTTCCATAATCTACAAGGTAAGAATGAACGAAATATTTTTAATTTTATCTTTCGCAAATAACACACCTAAAAGTGCCACTGGCTGGCTCCCCTACCGATACAATCAAACGCAAAGACAAATTACCTGTGAACTTCGAGCGTATATATTTCATAGAGTCCGCATTCAACAGAGTTTGTTTGGGTTGTGAGGGGAAATAGGTAGACACTATTTTCAGTGTCGCATCATTTTTACGGGGTTCGCAATTAATATAAATATTAAATTTGATGTATACCTTTAAAATTCTTTAAATTATGCACTTATTTTATATACTTGCATTATTTAAGTAGGTATCTAGTAATAGTACAAAAATAAAAATTATTGATTTAACATATTCAACATTATCATGATAAAATGAGTTAAAAACTAAAATCTTGTTTATATTGAAAAATTCTGTATTTTTTTTAACGTTTTAATAGAGTCCAAAATCTAAAACAATATTCCTCATACATAATACAAGTTCTTTAAATTTAATTCACTAAATTTACCATTTATTTTAAATTCATGTTTAACGGCCTTTTGCATAAAATGTAGGTACTTATGTTTCTTTTAAAAAAATGGTAGAGACGCTAATGGTTACTTACTTGTGAAATGACCTTGACGAAGCCTTTCCGTATTTCCATTTAAAACCTTCCCAAACTCTCACCATTGTTAAAATTTGTATCACTAAAGTAATAAAATACAAAAAATCTATTATAAACTACAGAAATAAGCTAGAAATTATTGAAAGTCAAAAATCAAATGACAGTTCTGACAATTTCGAACGATTTGACATGCCAAGCAAAACGAAACAGACCAATGGGAATGCTGGACACTCACATAGAAAATCAGAGTATGTGTGGACACTATATTTCCCCCCTGTACCAAAACAATGTCCATTTGGACGATGGCTCTAGTAATATATGCTCGAAGCCTGGGTAGGAAACATAGCAACAATAAATTTTGATCAAGCGGAAGTAGAATTTGCGCATGAATAATAAAGATCATCAATAACGGGAAAGGTCTATGAAAATATTTAAAAAATGACATGCAATGTCAAAATGTTGAAGAATATCCAAAATTAAACATTCTAAAATAGATAAATTATAATAACACGATTGCGAAGAATTCTTCCTTCCTGTGATAGAGCTTTTTCAATTTTTTAAAAATAGTTTTCATTATTTTGTAGGTGTATTTAAAATAGTAGGTTATGTTACAAGGACGAAAACTTTTTTGGGCGACTCGTAGGAGTCCGAAAAAACACTTTTCGTCCATCTTTCATGCATTATTTTTTATTCGAAAAAATATATAGAAAATTAAAAATTAAATCTAAAATGATATTAGGTCTTTTCCTTTGCATCGAAAGTGTAGCACTGGGCTACACCAATTCTGAAAATATCGTTCCATATATACAAATTGTATGGATGGAACGATATTTTCAGAAGTGACGTAGCTTAGTGCTACACTTTCGATGCAAAGGAAAATACCTATTATTTCCAATAATTTTTCCTTAACTGGGTTGGCTATGAGAACAATTGAACAATTTCTGTCGTGTCACTGTGCTCATGTCAAATTAATTTAATTACCTAGTTTATTAAAAATTGGTGTTAAAAAAATTACAAAAATGGGTAGTGACGAAGAATTCATTACGGGCACGCCCCCAGAAATTAGAGATGCGGCAAATTTGGCGTCTTTGAATTTGATTCCAAGAAAATCAAAAAAGGTAGAGAGAACCTACCTCAGATTTGAGAATTCTAATCGGTATGCAACACTTTATACACTTTATGAAGTATATACAAAAGTTTTACTTTTTGAATGTTTTCTGTCCACATACTTTGATTACTATACGAGGCAAGAGAGAGGTCCGACACGCCCAACATAGGGCGCGGCCATTTTGAACCCTGTGACACAGTTTACAGCTAAAGAATCAGATCGCTCACTTTGCGTCGGCACTTTGGATCTCAATGTTTCAGTTTATACACTGTGCAACTTGGATAATACAATATATGACAACCGCCTATAATAAATCAGCAGTCTTCTGCGTATCCTGAATTTGTATCCCTGGAGTGTATGTTATTTTGGAACTTTCAACTGGTCCGAGTAAGCTAACTGATTCTTTAGCAATAAACTGTGACTTCAAAAATAATATTCACTGACACTGACAGCAGCAAGCAAAATATCAGGTGCGTTTTAATCATCCGCTTCTGCTTCCGGAATTGTCGGTTTAGTCGTTTTAACCTGTCAGATTAAAACAAGAAAACTGACAATTTCGAAGCAAGCGGATGATTAAAACGCACCTATTAAAAATATTGCGCCAAGATGTAGGCAACACGTAATAAAGGTTCAAAATGGCGGAGTTTTCTATCTCCTTTTAAAAGGCACTCAGAAAGCTGCGCAGTGCGACCATTCTCCGTATAGTAAAAGAAAATCAAAGTATGTGTTTCTGTCCGAAAAAGGACGTTTTTTGACACATTCGAATAAAAACATATTTGGGTACTTTCAAACAATTTATCTACTTTGTTTTCGGAATATATTCTACGTATTATATTAAAAATTGCATTTTTAAATTTTAGATTTGGTTTTGGTATCAGTTATAGTTTTGGCACATAAATTAAAATTGAACCCAGATAATATAGCAACACCAATGGCAGCTAGTATTGGAGACGTCGTATCTTTGTTAACATTATCAATATGGGCCAGATACCTTCATACTTTTCATTGTAAGTAAAAAAAACTGCAATCATTTGCGTTAAAATATTTTAATGCTTAAGGTAATCTATTTTTTGCAATATTTCTAAATAAAATAAATAGAATAGTAGTATGTGCAACAAGAGTAGATCTGAGTGCGATACGGACAACACACTCGAGTTGTATTTTGTCTACGACCCACTATCGAAAATCTACAAATTTTAAAAATTACTTTAGGTAATTAGAATAAAATAACTAATTTAAAAATAATTTTTAATTCACTAATTTATTAAATAAACTATACTTAAAAAATAAGAATTAATTTAATTATTCTCCAATCCTAGATTTGTACCCGAGACCTCTCATATGACAGCCAAATGCGCTAGTCTCAGTTTCATCGTCACACCTAACATTTTAGTTTTAATACTCGTAATTATATTAAAATAAAACAATAAAAATAAAATAGTTTTATTAAAATTTTTGATTTATTTGTAAATCACGAATCACGAATCACGAATAATGGATTACATTTAAATATTTTATATTCAATACAATAAAAATATTATTTAAAAAAACCGTTTATGCATTTTTTATAAATTGGCTTGGCAACTAGTTTTTCGAGTAAAAATAGCATCCAAGATGCAAGACTATGTGGCTACCACCTTAGATATACGAGGCCTTTCCACTAGCAGCTATTGTTTGACAGGTCGTTGGAAGGCCTAATTAGTTTGACAGAATTGTCACTTATTTAAAATTTTATAAATAGTAGTAGCTGGGTGACCCAAATATGAACTGTGATTGGTGGATTTCATTTTTATTTGGTATAAATTTATAAATAAACCACAAATTTAAATAAAACTATATGAAATCATTTAATCACGAGTATTAACACGTTGCATGCTTAATGCCTATTGATATGCTATTGATAGGTGCTGAAGAGTATTTTTTTAAAACATAGTTATAACTGTGACTGATTTCTTGTGGGTAGAATACATTTGAAAAGTTTTGAATAAATTTTGTCTTTTTTAACGCGTGCGACGCTCATAGGCTTCGTCAGCACTGAATAATTAATGTTTGTTCCATATGCTAAGTGACTCAGATGTGCATCTTTCATTTTTAAAGTGCAGAAAGTCATTATTATCAAAAGAAACATTTACTGGAAATTTAAATAGAAAACTTTATTGGAAGAATATAATAATTACAAGTTCTGATCATTATGAAACTACAAAACAATTTCCAACGCAAAGGCGAGGTTTTCCAGGATACAAGCTACTCTCAAATATGGTGCCTCTTCTTAAATTATTCTTTGAACATACCTTACATTTTTTCTCTTTATCCGACCTCTACTATTAACATTTATAATTTTGGAAATGTTGTTAGAGTAACCGATAGTGTTTCAGGGTTTTGTAATAGATGTCTGATAATTTCTAAACGATATTCATATAAATTCATTTTTCTACCAGTGTATGGAGTATAACTTTTGTACAAATAATAAGAATTTAACAAAACTTGAAATATGTGAATACCTATTTTTTTATATCATCTCATTGTCTTTCGTTCACATGGATAGTAAGCGAGAATTTGATCTTTTCGATCAACACCACTCATAAACTCATTATATTTGGAGATAGGCAGGGGTTTAATTTTTTTTCTTTTTTTGTGTTTTCAGTTTCCATCAAATCATTTTTAAATTCCGTAGATATGTACATAACTTTTTTTATCTCTCTACTTTTCTACTAAAATGCCATCTTTGTATTCTCCTGCTAATTTAGCTTTTAAAACTTTTTTAGGATTACCTTTTCTCTTGGAAATTAAAGTTCATGTGCAGAAGGTATTATTTTGTAGAAGCGTTTTTGCTAAACCAATACTCCCATAAAAATTATCTATAAAAATCTGATGTGTCCAACACATAACTTTACTATTTAGTTATTACAGGCTTTTTTCGGTTATTTTGTACAACCTATTGTAGTACCTCTGTAAATATTTAGAGGTTAACTTATTATATATATTTTAGAGACATACACACACACACACACACACACACACACATACATACATACACGCACACACATACATACACACACACACACATACATACACACACACACACACACACACACACACACACACACACACACACACACACACACACACACACACACACACACACACACACACACACACACACAGACACACACACAGACACACACAGGCACGCTCACACACACACACACACACACGCGCGCACGCACGCACGCACGCACACACACACATACAGAACATACAGATCACACAGACACACACAGACACACACAGACACACACAGACACACACAGACACACACAGACACACACAGACACACACAGACACACACAGACACACACAGACATCATCGCGAAAATAGTCAAAACGGACTCAGGGGACCCCAAAACGTAAAAATCCGTCGAATACTCGAAGTCAAAAAATCTTGATTCCTATACTTTCCTTATCTGTATACAGATAGGAAAGTAAAAAGGGAATGCCCAGCGTTAAGTTTATCTCGCATTAGTTCTAGGACTACTTTTTCAGAGTGGCCTTTTCCACCTGCAGAGTCATAACGTCCTGTATATAATTTCATACGTAGTGCTAAGCTGTTGGGTACACATACAATTTCAGTCCGTATTTGTGACGTTTGCTCTTCATATAGATTCGAAAAGATAATCTACCACGCCACAATACCATACTTTCATCGAGGGAAAGATTTTTTCCTGGTTGATATATTTTAGCCATTATATTATTGAAGTAATTTAAAAGTGGATTAATTTTATACAGTTTTTCTTTTATTATACCCTCTTCTGGATTTCTGGCAAAATGTAGACATCTAAAAATAAGCAAGTAACGATCTCTTTACTCATATTATTATGGAAACATTTCAATTGAAAAAGAGGATCGGTTTTCCAATAGTCCTGGATTCTATTGGTTTTCCATGTTCCCATATGTAATATAAGTCCAAAAAATGTTTTAAGTTTATTAACACACACAGGCTTCCATTGATTTATGCGCGAATTGTCTGCAACACCGGATAAAAATAACGTTTTAGCGTAAATATTTATTTCTTGTACTATCCGACTATCTTCTCAAAAAAAAATGTCTTCTACAACAAAGCAAAAAATCGTATGGAAGACCAGTCCCTGGAATATCTACTAATAATCCAGAAGATTTGGTAAAATCAAAATTTTGCATTCCAACAGGATCATCTTGCCACGAATCCTCATTTAAATCTTCCTCTATATTTTCATTTATATCTGCATTTCCATGCAAAGTTTCAACCAATCCCAAATAATCATTTTCCTCTTCAACATCTAAAAAAAGTTTTTGAAAACTCCATTCTATTGTATAAGATTTTAATATAGAAATAAACATTTCAAAACATACAACAAATAATAATGCGTGTGTACAAATGCAGTTCTGATATAATTTCGAATTCGTTTCTCAAATTTCGTATTGAAATCATACCTGTACTTTATAATAAACATACATGTGTCGTCATCTGACGGAACTAAACTATTATCGGATTCACTGAATTCATCTTCACTAGAGCTTTGTTCCAACACACACACAAACCGTAATATTACGGTCATCGTCATGCGCAGTAAATAAAAACCGTTCGACTTTGGGCTTTATTGATAGGTTTTTATTTACTGCGCATGACGATGACCGTAATATTACGGTTTGTGTGTGTGTTGGAACAAAGCTTAGATGAATCATTTAATATACGGAGTGGCCCAAAAGTCTGGAAACGGCCAATTATCTCGTACATTGCTAATTCTAATTGTACAAAATTTGAAGTACACCTATTTTGGGATACGGAGATTCCAGATTTGATATTTGCAATGTTGCCAGATTTGCCGTTTCTTTTATAATATTAGTCACTTTGGTTTTTCAAATTCATCACCCTGTATATTCAGTCATTTTTGGAATCTCCTATTCAATACGAGTTTAACCATATGTAACACTTATGATTTTAAGTAGTCTTGAAGGTCTTAAATATATAAAACAATCGTGGAGAAATGTGGTAGACGCATTCTACCGTCGATTAGGGTACTGTCAACTCACAAATAGAGGACATTTTGAATACTTGATAAAGTAACCATTATGTTAATAATGTTATAATATTTCAATTGTTACGTTTTAATGTAGTTGAAATTAGTTTGTATTAAAAAATTTATTGAGACAATTAGGCGTTGCCAGACTTATTTTATTTATTTAAGACCTTCCAGACTACATAAAATCATAAGTGTTAAACATATTGTTAAACTCGTATTGAATAGGAGATTCCAATAATGACTGAATATAAAAAGTGATGAAATTAAAAAACCAAAAAATAATTTAAGAGAAACGACAAACCTGGCAACATTGCTAATATCAAATCTTGAATCACCGTATCCCAAAATAGGTGTACCCCAAATTTTGTACAATTAGGATTAGCAATTTACGAGATAATTAGCCGTTTCTAGACTTTTGGGCCACACTGTATTATATAATTGTTCAGTGCTATATTTTGATCTTTTACTATATGAATTATTTGCATCCATTTTTACACACGTCAATAGTTTGACAACAAAAAAGCATGGCCAGACTTTGGACATAAGTAGGTACAATATTGTAATGGAGATTTGACAACTTTGGGCTGTTGTCTGCGAAAATATGCGTTATCTTTTTTAATAAAATATACATAATTATGCAAAATAAAAAAGTTTTATAACATTTTAAGTATACAAAATAAGTTATTTTAATAAATTTGACATGACAAAATAAGGATAATACAGAATGTAAATTTAAATAATTTTAATGAAATATTTTTTGTACTTGGAGGAAAGGTTAATAAATAGGGTAACAAATAGTTCCCTCTTCTAAACATTAAAAAACATAGGTATTTTAAAAACTCACATGTACGTCATTAGCATTTGACTGAAGCGATATTTTGTGGGCGATAGAGTAGAGACTAGGTCGCAATGGTCGGCAAACTAATTAATTAGTCAACAGAGCCAAATAGCAACAGTAGAACGCCAGAAATTTCTTTTTTAAACTCAAAGTATATAGGTGTACATTGTTGTTGACTTAATTAGAGTATTGCTAAGCTGGCCTTTCCTAAAAACGTCCTCAATCTGATTGAAGAACACGTTTGCTGAGGTCGACCTTTTCCAACTCTCTCATCTATACTCGTCTTTAAACTTGTTTCGTCTATCTCTTATCGTTCATCCTCTTTATACATATTAGAAAAAAATTATACGAGCCATAAGCTATAGGCAGTGTGAGTGAACATCCATCTCTATATTTTGTGTACAACAACTACCACCTTTCCTGTGACCTGCGAGCGTGCGTGCTCATAGAAAGTTCCGATAGTAATGCATGAACTATTGTGGGGTATCGTTCTATCTAATTAAATAAATGCAAAATTTACTTAATTCTCAGAATTCTAGTCTTTCCTGCGGGGATACGCGATCAGGAGTAATATATTGCACGATAAACGTTGATATTTTATCTTTCTGGAAATGTGTTTTTAATAAAAGTCGCTTCAGAGTACTCGTTTAAAGATAAAGACACATAAACACCAAATAAGTATGAAAAAATAGAAATAAGTAAAGCAGCCATCACGAAGTTTCAATGGTACTGTATGTGCGAGCCCGCACACTGTAGTTTGGGGAAGAGCCACACTCAACGTGCCAAAGAGCCGCATGCGGCTCGCGAGTCGCGCTTTGCCGACCCCTGCACTAGGGCATCTGGCTTTTATGCGAAAGGTCTGCGGGATATTTATTGTTTTTATACCATCATAAGTAAAGAAATAATTAATTGGAGAGTTTATATTGTATATTATATTTAGAAAGAACGACATGTCGCGTGAATAAAAAAATAATATCGGAATCCTAATAATCCTTGATTCCTAGGAACGAGGTGATGAGCTTCATCTTTTGTCTTTATAGAACTGCTATGCAATAATAGTATATTATGCAACGATCATGTAATGATGTTTATTAATTAATTAATAATACTCGTGTATTACACGATTACCCGGGATACGAAACGAGCCGAAGACGAGTTTCGTATGGTTTATGCGAGTGTATTAATAAAACCATTACAAGAGAGTTGCATACGCTATTTTTTCTACACCCGATAAATAATCAAGAACCACAAATATTACCTATATTTATATTTGTATTGAACACAATAACAGTAATTACTCGTATTCTATAAAAAAATCTACAAAATTGTAAATAATGGTATCACCACGGGTATTGGTATTGCCATAGATTTTTGGGGCAAAATATTTGGTACTGGATTTTTGCTTTTCTCCGATATGTGTGGAGGAGTCGATGGTAAGTCTTCTATATCGCTGATATCAGACATTTTAATAATATAATTATCGAAGTTTAGCTATCTACGAAAATTTAATACGTACTGATTTTGACAACTAAAACAATTACATAGGAACCTAGGACAAACATCAAATGCACAGCATGCTTGATAGAAAATTGATTGAAAAATCTGTATCGTTATGAAAAATCTGTATCATAATGGGTATCATTAAGAAACGGATTATGGGCATATAAGTGCATTATTATAATATAACATATATAATATTATAATAATAATGTTTGACATGTTTAACGCGTGTGACGCAAGTGACGCAATGCAAGTGTGAAGAAGATACCTATGTAGTGCGTGTAAGTCAACTACATACCTTCCCCTCTCTTTAAACCTAATCAGTTCTTGGTTCATCGCTGGAGTCCTCTCAAACTCGATAGTGTGTTATTTGTTGCATATTTCAATATGTCTTTACTCAACCCCTTAGACTAGATAATAAAGAGAGGACTCATAACGTCGCTGAAAATCTTGTTCCATACTGACACCAACGATAATTATTGACCAAAGGCGTAACATGTTGGAAATAAAAACAAACTTGTATTTATGTTATTAGTACTTCATTGATCTTTTTAGGTATAAAGCAAGTTCAAAGCGTAAAATTTAAAATAAATAAGACACAAGAAAAAAATATATTGAAATAAACTGAATGAAATCGTTTACATAATAAAATGAGTGTTTTTTTTTTTAAATTTTGCAAAATAAAACATAATGCTCTACATGTATTATAAAAAGATTTATTTTTACTTATTAGAAAATGACACTACCTAGATAGCACAGACACGTTTTAAAGAAATCTTAAATAGGTTTGTTCACGACGTTCGTGACAATCGTGACGTTTTGAAGATCTACGCTAATATCCAAAAGATGTTTTAAAGGCGCCTATAGTACGTACTTTGTTACAAAACAAGGTGTCTTTGGGACATCTAATTTTGTACGTCTTTAAGACATCCAGTTTTGAACGTCTTGAAGACAAACCGCATTGGACGTGTTTAAGTCGTCTACTTACTTGATGGAAATTCATTAAAAAAAAAAATAAATGAATACTTGTCTACTATACTTAATACTGTTTATTATACATTATTAAACTATTAAAAATGATGCAGAGTAAATATTATTACAGTGTTGGATAAAATAATTAAAAAATTACTTGTTGCTATGAGAAACTATTCCAGTTTGGTCGATTTAAAAATTTTAGACAAAGCATCTGTAACTAATGTCTCCGTAGCATATAAATTTGTAGAGTTATTGTTTTAAGGTAATTTTCTAAAAAATAAGACATTATTAAAGTGAGGTTATAAAATTAAAAGGCAACTAAATTAAAACTTACCGTTTTTAATGATAAAGTTTACTAGTTCTGGTATACCACAGTTCTAATAATGGCAAATAAATAATGTAAAAAGACAATACATAAAAACACACAACCACCAAAAAATAACGACAATGTTCACAGACTGACGCTAAAAATATTATACAATGGCTATCCCGAAAAGAAGGCAGCTAGAGGAACAACACGACTCGATACGCGCGCGCGAGACTCCAATCAGCCAATGACAATGACGAATGACGATCTACATGCGCTGCAGGCAGAGCCATATTCAAATATAGCAAAAAGAGTTGAACCCCTAGCCTGAAGTGAACTTGCAATAACTCTATTAGCTCTCATTCCGAAGCAGGCCCGACGAGAGGGGGGTAATGGGCAAAATCTCCGGTACTCGGGCACAAGGGGGACCCGGCAGTTTTAACAAAATATATTATAGAAAATTCTTGGTTTTTGAACCCTGATCTACCAACCCCAGTTATAATAATAAGGGGCCCTTGCAAGTGTTTTGCCCCGGGGCCCCACCATGGTTCTCGACGGCCCTGTGACCTATGACTTTTTAACAGATTTAAAAAAAGAAGGAGATTCTTAGTTCGTCGGATTTTTTTATTCCTAAAAAATATGAATGTTTGCCATTTTTAAACCAAATGCACCAAAATAAAAACTAAAAACTACAAAAGAATAATTAATACACACATACCTAAGTACTTAATAACCTCATAGAAATTTTGTTGTCACAAAACAATAAGTTCTTTTCTTGTTTTCCCAATCGTACACCATTTAAAAAAGCACGTAATTTGAATTGCTGATAGTACACAAAAAAAACTGATGAATAAATTTTCCCTCAGACTTTTATAAAACCGTTTGTTTTTTGACATGATACAATTACTGACCATCTTATTTTCCGTACTAATTTAACAAATTTCCTTATCGGTATTTAAGGCGCATTTCTAAAACACATCTTCTTGTCTATCCTTATAAACAAAAATTATACAGATTTGTTAAAATTGCCTAATTATGTCTCATAAAACTACTTCTGAGGAATACCATTGTTTATTGGTTAATGATTTTATTATTATTTTTTATAAGTTTTTTTTATAAACAATATATTATCCACATTAATGTATCGTTAATTTTTTAATTTCTAGTGTCCCATACCTGGATTCTGGGAGTTATTTTAGGATTCTATATTGTAATCCTGCTTCCTATTTGGGTCCTTATCGTTCGCCAAAACCAATACACCAAAGATGTTCTGGCTCATGGTTGGACACCAGTTATAACATCTCTTTTCATCAGTGGGTAAGTAAATTATTTCAGAAGATATTAAATTTTAAAAACACTGAAAATGGCCGTACTAATATTTATTACACTTTGTAGGAGTGGAGGAATTGTCTTGGACGCAGCAGTGGACAGATTTAGTGGTTATGCCGTTTTCCAACCGATTATTAACGGAATTGGTGGAAATTTGGTATCAGTTCAAGCTAGCAGAGTGTCAACAATGCTTCATAAAACTTCATTTGAAGGTGTCATACCATTACATACCAAACAGTGGGCTACTCCATTCCAAGCTCTTATAAGTGGAGGTAAATAACTATAAACAGTTTTTACCCATTCATATTAAATAATACATAAATATTGTTATTAATATTGATTTTTTTTAGTTCTTCCTGCAAAATCAGCCAGGCTGTTGATAGCTCTTTCCATACCAGGCCATATACTGTTCGCCTTTGTAGCGGACCTCATCTACAGCAAAGGAGCTGTGTCCTTAAATCCATTCTTCTTAATGACCTACATTGCTGTTGGTTTCATCCAAATTGTATTCCTTCTCTACATTTGTCACCTCATGGTGCACACAATGTGGAAGTTTAGGATGGACCCTGACAATTCAGCAATTCCTTATCTAACTGCTCTCGGTGACCTCTTTGGATCTACTCTGTTGCTTGTTGGGTTCATACTAATGCAAGCCATTGGACATGAGTATGAGAAGAAGGGTACTGTAAAGAAGATAGACTGGACCATTTCTACTACAACTCCTTCTAGTAACTTAAAATTTGGTTAACGATATTATTGAAGACGTAGAGGAAAAAGTTGCCATGCCATTCAATGGCAAATGAAAAAGTAGCAAGATGTTTCTTGTAGATAACAAATTAAATACTTCTTGAGATAGAATAATGATAAAAAAATGTTTTTATTTTTAAAACGTTTTTTTATTTTTTGATATTATAGTTCTTATAATCTAGTCATATATAAGTACTTTTGTAAATAAATTGTAAAAATTATTTTTGTAGAATATTGACGTGTAGCTATTTTGTATTCAAAATATGTTTTTAATTACGTGTAAAATAATAAAAAGGGAATTTCACAAATATTTTGTAAATAATGTTTTCAATTAAAAAATCATAATTTTTAAATTATTTTATTTCCTTTAAAATTGATTAGAAATATTAAGTAATGTGTGGAAGCCAATGACATCAATAAAAAAATGCTCAATAGTGTTCCCGTAGTTGTTTAAATTTTTGTATATAAAAACTATTTAGCAGAATAAACTATTCATAATTTTCGCTCAATCTAAACTATATTTTTGGAAATGTTTTTTCAAAAAAGTATCGCTAACGAACGCATTAAATATTTTTGAAATCGTGCTTCAACGAGCTTTTTTTTTAATTTGGTGTCATCGGCATCAACTACTAAGGTTATTAGCATCATATTCAGTGTAGGCTTTGTTACTGTTTCCCAGCGCCACTTTAGGAATAGCACTGTTAATTAGAACCCAACAGTGAATGGTCGAGTGGGGAATCCTACCAAGGCATCAGAATTAATTTTAAATAATTAAATTAAATAAAAAAATCCCGGCCAACGGTGGGATTTGAACTAATGAGCTTTTATTTAATACCCTACAGTGATACCCTTCACCTCTACCCTAAATAAAAGCTCATTAAAGCACGATTTCAAAAATGTATAATTATGTAGGGCCTACACGATAGCATATCAGAAATTGTTTTTACTAATTTTACCAATTCACCCCTTCCTCAAAACTGATCTTAAGATAATAATAATCATATTGTTTTTAGTATTCATGTATCATAAACCATTCGAAGCAAACCCAAAAACGTGCACAATCGGGTCTTTGGGGTCTATTCTGTAACTATAGTTGTTATCTGGCAACTTTCTAACCACTCGCTATCTTACCACTTTCGTAGCAACTGTATATAACAACTTTGACAAAAGTAGCTATTATGAAGACTAGAGAGAAGGAGGCGAATCGCCAATGGTCAAATTTCAAATTTCCTATGTAAGTGAAAAAAAGTACATGTAAAAGTAACATGAGTGACAAAAATCATCAAAGCAAGATTTACGTAGTTTCAGATCGTAAAACAGGATAAAAATCAAATGTGAAACTAAAGAAAACACAAGGAGAAATCAATTCAATGTCTTTTTAAAGCTTTTAATGTAAATAAAATAATGTATTCATGTCTAAATATAATATTTATTGTAAACTAGTCACAATATGTATCTTACGAAGTGTAGTTTATTTTACTATAAGTTTCTATAATATAAAATTTTACAGTTATAGATGCTGACTTACAAACAATCATAATTATGCATTAAATTTAACTTAATAGAAAATAAAATTTATTTTTTATAGAGTTTTAATGTTAGATAAAGAGTTGCTACTGTTATTTTTTTTTAGACCCCAATTGTGTCATTGTAAATGTTTTTTATAGGATACTAAACGTTTAGAACAGTGGCAGCATATATATCGTACCTAGTGTCGATAACGCACTTTCTAGAGATGGTGCTGTTCTATACTTTTTAGAAGATATTATCAAATAGTATGAGACTATTTTTACTGATGGTACCTGTTACCAAAATAAAAAGGGGAAAGCTGAAATTAAAGGATGAGGTAATACCATGTACATTTACAAATCTCCCTTTATACTTGTATTATAACAATAAAAATCTGTTAACTGTGTTTTATTTTACTCTTAAAACAATATATTGATTCAATTAAAAAAAAAAAAACAAAAATTGCCACAAAATTGTACAAAATTTCAGCAATTAGGCATTCCAATGACCTGTCAAACTGCTGACAAGTGGGAACTGACATTAAGATATGGCAACCCTGTGAATCTGTTGTCATTGATACATATATAGTTATAAAGATTGCTCAAAGCGGGTCGTTTACGAGCGGCCATATTGCCTCGCAAGTGCTCATTAATCAGAATCGATTTTGCAAAAATTTGTTTACAAACGAATATTTAGCCTTTGAATGCAGTAAAAAAATAATTACCTACATTTTTACTTCAAGGAATAAGCTTATGTTTATTTTGAAAAATATGGATGATCAATCTATGTAACTATCTATTTCATTGACCTTGTCAAATCACTAGGCCTACAGGGTTGCCATAATTTTGCCTTATCATAATCTGTCAAAACCCACTGGCAGCCATTTTGTTTGGAATGCCTAATTAAGAAACCTTTTCGAATTTAGTCATACATACCTAATTTGTATTTTATATAGATAAAATTAAATAATTTATCAATTAAAACATGCAAGACTTATTTAGAAATAAATACAACAGTATGTTCTGTGCTTTATTTAGCTGTAAACAAGTTTATTTTTATTGTTTTGACAAAATTATGTATAATTCCCATAAGAAGCCATGTATTTTGAACAACGTATGCAGTACCAGTGCCCATGCGGTTAATTATAGAAGCTTAATTAGCATGCGTTTTTTGATACCGTATTTTAATCGTCTCCTTATCTCTAGTCTTCATAGTAGCTATTCCAGTATTCACGATCGCTATATTAGTCTACGCTGTATCACACAGTTATGCTACCGACCAAGTTGCTATGATTAAAATCTATAACAACTAGTGGTTACAAAAGTGAATTCAGAGTTATTTGGAAGCAACCAAATATTCTTGATGGTTAAGCGTAACAACTAGTTTCTAAAAAAGAAATATTATGAACCCTAGATAATAAATATTTTAATAGACCAAGAAATTAATGGAAGGTATATTTACTGATAGAATAATAGATATCAGAACTAAACAGATATATTATTTTCTCCAATGGTTTGATTTAGGAATGAAGTAAGATTTCAGCAAAGGGTATACTATTTATTGCGATCTCTATATGTAAGGAGGGGTTACTCTCCATGTCACTTAGGCCTCAATAGGCCCATTGTGCATCCTTCAGGGGAATTTAAGACCTGCCTCTCAGCACTCCAAAACGCCTGCTCTTAACTTGAAAGTTAAGTTGTTAAAAGCCTCATTTACACCACACATACAACTTTATAGCCACTGTGAATACTAGAATAGCTACTTTTGTCAAAGTTATTATACGTTTACTATAAAAATAATACAACTTTTAAGTGTAGTGTAGATCAGGCTTTTAACAACTTAACCTTCGAGTCGGAAGTGCCGGGACATCTTGTGAAGTGTAATTTTATCATTTGGAAATGGTTACATTTTGTTGGTGGTGTGGCTTGAAAGTAAAAAAAAATAATACAGCAAAATATATTATGCAATTTTATCTCAGGCAGATCTGAAGGCCTTTTGACGATCTGAGAGGTAGTCATCCTTATAGAAATCTCACCTGAAAGGCAGCATCTAGAGGGCGCACAATAGGGCTATTAAGGCCTAACTAAGGGAAACACACCTTACAGATACATTTTACAAGGAATAAATAGTAGGCTTTGCTGAAGTCTTACTTTATTCCTAAAACAAATCATTAGAAAAAAATATGATAAGTTCCGATTATCGTATCAATAAACATACCTCCTATTAATTTCTCGATATATTTAAATATTTTTCCTACACATATCACACTATATAGTGCTATGGAAAGTGCCCTATATCACACGCGTATGAATAAGAATTTACTTTCCACCCGCTATCACAAAATATCAAACACATCATTTCTATTTTGATCTATGTAATGTCTATATTATTACTAAAATCGATATGATTGTTAAATTATTATCTTTAACAATTATTATTAAAATAATTTTAAAATAACTAAGTTATGTTTGCTTATTATTCTGGTTAAACATATAACCGATTAGATCATTCAATTGACGCAAGGCCTATTAGCTCAGATGTTTAGAGTGTCAAACTTATCAACTTTGCCATTTGAGACCTGGCGAGCGACCGCGTTCAAATCCTGACAGGGGCAGAATTTTTTTGTTTTTTGTTTATTTTGTTTTTTGTTTATTTTGTTTTTTGGTTTTTTAATTTTTTTTATTTAGAAAATATGAAAATTGAATAAATAAGATTATTGTTGAATATTTTTTTAAATACATTTTAATTATTATAATAACCTGGTTTAACATTTTTTGATGAAATTATTTTGTGGTCGTAGGAAAAATAATGTACATCACTTGTGTGAAAAGTGATTTTCCACACTCGTGTGATAGTCGCACTCGGCTTGTGTCCCGTGCGACAATATTTCCCACTCGTGTGAAAAATGTCTCTTTTCACACTCGTAAGGTCCATATTTCTTTCTCAGCAACTAGTTGTTATGTTTAAGCACTAAGAATATTTGACTGCTTCTAAGTCACTCGAAATCCACTGTTATAACCACTAGTTGTTACAGATTTTTTTTAGAGAATTCTGATTTTTACAAAGTGGTAACATAACGACTGATCTTGGTCTAAGCCACTTGCTAACTAGCAATTGCATGATACAGAATAGACTACTTTATCGCACGACGTGCGTATAAAGGTTGCTAGGTAATCGCTTCAATAAATTATATTAGATTGTGTCAGATTTTATTTTGAATTGTCAAATTAATTAAATTGTTTACAACTTTACTTAAAAACGGTGCCTGTAAACGTAAGACACACGAATTTCGAAAAAAAAAAATTGAACTAGAAAATAGTATTAAGTGTATATATAAAATAATAAAAAAAATTGTAGGTTACGCATAAATAACAGAGATATTTGAGTTAAAACTTGTGAATTTTGGTGATTCTAACCTAAGATTTTTCGATTTTCGTGTAAAGTATAAGCAAGCTTGTCAAACATTTTAATTTATAAGAAAATCTAGATTAATAATTGACAGAATCGATCCGGTACTTTTATGAATCGAATACTAAAGGTTTGTTCCAACACGATAGCAAATTTGTTTACGTAGTGTTTCTGTCACGTGGTTTCTGTACTGTCAAATCAGTTCCTGGGTCTCATTGATCTGGCAACCTAGGGATACGACATGCGTAATCGAAAAGTGGGACCGGTCCGCCATTACTGTGAGTGCAAATTGTCAAATTTTATAGGTTATATTTTTAGTGTCATTTGTGTAATTAAATTTGAATTTAATTTGTGTTTGAGCAAATTTTGAGTGTTAAAAACTTATAAAGTATATAATGCCTTGCTGTGTTATATGTTCCTGCTCTAGCGATAGACGTTTTTGTGAAAAATCGACTGGAATAACGTTTCATAGGTTAGTATCAAAATTATAAATATTATACAGGACAGTATTATGACAGGTTTGTATAAAATGTGTAAAAGTATGCTTTTAAAAATGCAAAAAAATCATCTATCAACTTTTGGGCCCACCTATATTGGAATAAATACTTTTTCATACGAAATAATATTTATAGATTTCCAAAAAATCCTGAAAAACGTAGCGCGTGAATACAGTTTGTCAAGAAGCATAATTGGGAACCTTCTAAATTATATATATGTATATGTTCCAAGCATTTTCTTGAGAAGTACATTAATCGTACGCTATTTCGTTTATCAAATTTATAGGCATTTTATATATTCTTATTTCTATTTAAATATAACCTACATTTGCGGTCCTTCCACCAATTTTATTTATTAGTTCTACAGCTGATTGAAAAGTAGATCTTCATGTTTTGTGTATGCATGAGTATTGTTTGTTTTATTATAGTTAATTTAAAACAATTTTAATATACCTTTTTAATTACCTATAATTTGTTTCAGATTAGTGCGTTTAAAGGAATTTGTGAAAATGAAGCGATTCGCCAGCTTTGGGGATGTGCCAGTAAAAGTGACATCGAAGTTATTCATCGTTTCCAGAATAAAGTATTAAGGAACATCGTCGATGCACCATGGTACTGCCACAATACTGATCTTCATAGGAACCTTAAAGTGGAGACTGTTGAAAATACAATACAAACATTTGCCAGTAGTCACCAACAACAACTGCTCCAACATGGAAACCTCGAGATTATCCAGCTCCTCAACAAGCGACGATTTCCATACCGACAAGTTCCAAAGCACCAAACATTCAGTGCTGTGTTTCGACATATTGGAACA